CCAAGGTTGTGTTTGGAGACTCGGGGTCCAACACGGGATCGTTCACAAGCCGAGAGGCCAATGCACGTCGTCGTGGGATGCTGCAGTGGAGGCGACAGATTTGATACTCGGTCCCCACGAGTAGAGCAGATCCTCCCCGAAGCCCGTTCCCGTTCAAGTGCGGCCTTTTTTCAAACGCGTTTCCGTGCTACGTTGTATATCGTGTAGCAAAATGTACATCCTACGTAAAATCTGGTGATTTAAGGTGTACCTGGAAGATTGCTTCTTTTTTTCAGTGCGTGTGAGTGTGCATGTGACAAATTGTTGGACTGGAAGCATGCGATGTATTTGTACCTCAGTTCACCCTTTGGTTGCATGCGCTCGGTGTACTCATCCGTCTTATTTCCCTTTCTCGCAGGTAAGACAACAGCGCTGATGAGTCCCGGTTCGGTTGCAGGCCCCCGGTGAGTGTGCACGGTGCGCAGCGGTGTACACGTGCAAATCCTTTCGGGTTGTAGCCAACTGTATTGCCGTGGACCGAACGGTGCCGACGTAATTACGATAAGCATACAGAAAGACCGCCGTAAAAGCCAGCTTGGCACGGTGATTGCATGTCAGCGAGCACCTGGCATATGATTTGTTTGTTTCTTACGCAATTCAATTTTGAACTTAGCTCGAGCTCCGATGTCCATTGCCTTGACCTTTGTGTTGAAACTGTACCTTGATTCGCAGCGAGAAGTTTGGGTATCCCCGCCTGATGTAATTTTTTCACTACCCAGAGTGCGGATACTTTAACTTCCTCTGCTGGTGCAAGCACGTGCCATGCCAATCTTCTATGCACTACGAAAAATTAAAACATAACCGCGCGAGTAGCATATGTGCACTGTACCCAGGAAATCAGAAGCGCCCCTAGCGAGATTAAGGCGTTTGCAAGTACGGCCTCTGTGCGCCGCCATCTTGCTTGCTGGTGTGGGTAGATCGTCCGATAGTCAAGCATTGGTGAGGCCGTGGGTATGCCTTAGTAATGCTTGACTATCAGACGATCTACCCACACCAGCAGCAAGATGGCGGCGCCCACAGGCCGTACTTGCAAACGTCTTCACTCGGTCCTAACGTCACGCCACTACAGTGGTGCTGCTGTTGGCAGTGCGCATGCGCAGACGGTCCACCCGAAATTGGTTCATGCGCACGTGCAGTGCACGCGCACACCTCGTGCGGGCGTGTTTACGTCCAGCCATAGGGGCGTGCGGTGTGGTTCTGCGGCAAAGAAGGCGATTTCGCGCTTCCGGTGTGGCGTCCAAACTGCGCTGCCAGGGGAACTGGGAATACGGGTCATTAGGGCGACGATGGCGGCCAAGCGGTCCCGATATCGGTGCATCCAGGCAGCCTCGGCCGTAAACGTAGCGGACGAAACTAAAAGCGATTCGACGCTCCGCCGAGATGAACGAGGTCGATAAGGGAGCCCTAACAACTTCCTCGGCGATGGGAAACAAATAAGATAGCCGCTAAGCGTCTGCTTTAGTGTATACTTAGGCCACAGTCTTGAATGGCGGCCGCTCTGGTCTGATAAGGCATCCCGTCTTTTCGCCCCGAGTGTGGGCGTTGCCGTCGCGGAGCGGGGAGGGTCCCCCGCACCTCGTCTCGTCGCGGCGCCTGGGGCCGAACGAGGCCCGGTCCATCGGTGTCGATAAGCTGCCTTTTTTTTTTTTTCTGTAAAAGTCGTCTTTAGCATTGGGGATCGCTTCGTGTATGTTTGATGTAACACTCGTGGTTGCGTCTGTGTTGCACGCGGAAGTGGGAAGAAAAAAGGAAAAAAAAAAAAAGGTTTGTCGACCTTGATAGATGGTGAGCCGTGTGTCTCTGCTGTAAGTGCCAATTTGGTCGGTGTAGGACGCACGCTAACGTGCGTTTAATGCGCGTCGCACGTACTTCATAGTGATTACACAGATAGGTGTATCGGCTACTCGTATCGGTCTCTGTTCTGGGATCACACCCAACGCAAGGTGTGTAGTCATGGCGTCTGTACGAGTAAAATGCTAAGGACATATGAATACATTATTTCTTTCTGAGCAAGATTCAGCAATTGCAAACGTCATAGTCACGTATACCTGGCGCTGCGAAGTCAATCCCCGTAAAGCTTCGCCGGTTTGAGAAGCCGTTTTCTTCAAAGAGGAAAAGGTCAAAAAGACTGCGACAGTGAGCGATATTTGCGGCGGAAGAGAGGACCGAGTACTGCAGATACTCGCGACTTCGATGCAACTAGTTTTCGGTTTCCTTGAAATGCTCGAATCTACACGAAAAGAGGAAAACGAGGAGGTGAGAGCGCACGGAAACGTCACAACGCCGTGCTCTGATTGGGAGGATAGTGGGTATAGATGCAAAGCTGCCCTTGTGTCTACTCACTGTTTGAACGCGATGCACTGCGCGAGGAGCAGAGGAAGCTCGGTTTGCTCTGATTGGAGGAAGACAGCGGGTAAGCACAAAGGCCCCTAGCCTTAGCGTCTATACCCACTAATCTGTCCAATTAGAGCTCGGCGCTCCGACGCCTCCGCTCGCTCTCATCTCTTCCTCCCCCTCAGTTCCTACCCGTATAGCTGTTAGACCAAAACTAATATCGTCCGCTTTAGCGCATCGTCCGCAGATGGCACATGGGCAAGCAACGTCGCCTCAAAACGCTTCTTCGCAAAAAAAAAAAAAAAGAGTTTAAGTAACATCGTTTTTAGGGCGAGCAAAGAGATAAGACGCAGCGGACTGGAAAAGGTACGGCGTTACTGGTCTTTATCTTGTCGCGGATTAAAACGCGCGTCCAGGCAGGCGTCCTATCCGAGGAGAAGCCTCGCGGGAGCAGTCGGCGACGCTCGTCCACCGAACTGGTCTCGTTTCGTCCGCTGCTGCGGGTCCCTCGGGGGGCAGCGAACGAGCGATCGGACGGACAGATAGACTCTATACGGGCGACGTGACGCAACAATTACGAAGCCACAGCAGCGCCTGGCGAGCCACCCGAAACTCGAGCATGCAGACGTATTCGGCTAAGGTTGTATATTACGAAGTCAGCGGGCCAATTTCGGCACCCCGATCGGCGCGTTTTCACTGACATCATGTCGTCTGCTCTCAGCTGAGCGCTGATGCAGCCCCCGTGTCCGATCCGCTCCTCGCGTTTGGAAGCTGAACACTATGCGGCCGCCTTGTCTATGGCAGGGAGGTGATGGACGCGACCGTAGCGAACCCAGTCGAGATTTTCCGCCTATCGGTGGGTAGAAGAGGAAGGGAAAGGAGGATCGAAGGCGCGTGATTGCTGACCTCTCGATTCGATGCATGCGCTACAATCGCATCCACGTAAACCTTAGCCGTCGCTAGGGGACCAACCGAACAACGTCAAAAGCGCGAGTCACTAGGTCTTTTCTGTTTAGCGTTGATTCAGCGATGGCAGAACACGTGCAGAAACATGACACCATGATGGTGTGCTTTTTACTCTGTCTGATTGGTCCCATCAGGCCGTAGCGTCGGCTGCGTCTGGACTTAAAAGGGTCCATAAAAAAAAAAGAAAAAAAAATGTTTTTTTTTTTTTTGACAGTTTGGTTGGGACACGCGTGTCAAAAAAATTAATTTTACCCGAAAAAGAATTTTTTTAGAGCAATATTGACGGCGAGAGATTTATTTGAAATTCTGCGCGCAAAGGTCATGACGTCAAAGAATGCTCACTCGCTCTTTCGACCTCAACGTGAAGGCGAAGCCGATCCACCTCGTCTCGGTGATTAAGAAAGTAGTCTTTAGTCGGCTCCCAGATTTCCTTACACTGGGTAGGCAAATCTGAGAGCCGGCTAAAAGCTCGCGTGCATCTCATTCACGTGCACTCGCGTTCGAATTGCAACCGCGAAGCGCATACGGTCGTTTTCATCATCAAGCGCGTTAGCAATCTCTTCTGCGAACACGGTTGAACTGCCAGTGTGAATGCGACGTAAAGCGGGTTTAGGCAAGTTTATCGCCCCCCCCCCCCCCCCCCCCCCCCGTCCCCCCTGTCTTACAAATAGCGTCAAATGCGCCAACGCATGGGGCCCGTGCCTCGTGCGGCACTTAGAAGCGTATGGCGGCGCGGATTTGACGCGTTCGCGCAACAATGATTGCCGGTACTTGTAAGAAACGCGAAGCGTGAATTTCATCGAGGAGCTTTAGGTGATCTGACGTCCATGAACACGCGCCAGTCGGAGTGCCGAAGCCGCTCCGTTCAATTCCTCCTCGAGCTTTTTTTCTTGCACCGCCGGTCCTGGTCTCCTTTCGCTGGCCGCGGGCGCGTGGAGCAGGCGGCCATGGCAAG